CTGTGGCTGCTGTAGTCGCCATCCTCATTTTCGCCTTTATCGCCCCAGCGGCCGTCAAGGAATACGCCAAGGAGGCGGTGGTCTTTAAGCCCACCAATGTCTCGATTGAATCAGCCACTGCAGATGGCCTTCAAGCTCGGATACAAGGGGACGTGGTGCTCGATGCGCGGCGCGTACACAAGAAACCAGTGCGGGACATTGGTCGTTTTGTCACTTGGATCGGAAGGGAGGCCGAATCCGGCCAGTCGGAAGTCGAACTATATCTCCCAGAGTATGGGAACGTTCTTCTAGGCACGGCCAACCTGCCTTCCGTCAAGGTCAGCATTCAGAATGGTCATGTAAACCATGTCAATTTCTTGGCAGACTTTGTGCCTGGGGACTTCGAGGGAATTCACAACGTGGCATTGGATTGGTTGAATGGGAAGCTCGAGAAGCTGACGGTCAGAGGAACAGCAACCCTTGATATCAAGTCGGGATTCCTCAGCCTGGGCCAGCAGCTCCTTTCCGACTCCCTCACCATTGAAGGTTGGTTCCACATGGTTCCCATTCGTTGTATATGCTTCTAACTCGGACTATAGAGGGTGACTTTCCTTCTTTGCCCGCTGTCAACATCACGAATCTTAACGTCCATGATGCGGAAGACCCAGGACAGCAAGGCGCAATGGCAATTGATGCCTCAGCCGCTGTCCAGTTTGATTCACCATTCGCAGTGAATATTCCTCCACTGGGGTTCGAAGTACTGGTCCCGAATTGCTCTCCAGGTGATGCCCCAATTCGGGTAGCCGCTGCTACGACTCGCGGGTTTCCGGTTACTCCTGGCCAGCCAACATCAGTTGATGTCGCTGGCGTAATACAAGGACTCTCTGAGGACTTGACCAGAGTGTGTCCAGGGATGAAGGGCTCCCCTCTGGATTTCCTAGTCAAGAGCTATATTCATGGAGATGGAACCACTGTCTATGTCCGTGGAGCGGACCCGCCTTCTCTAGCTACTCCTGGATGGGTGGTAGATATTCTCAAAAGTGTGACGGTGCCGCTCAGTTTCACTGGGCATGCCCTTGACAATCTCGTCAGGAACTTCACAATGTCGGACGTGCATTTCACCCTGCCAGATCCCTTTGCGGAACCCGATTCTCCCGAATCACAACCGACGGTATCTGCGTTGGTGAAAGTGCTCATTGGGCTGCCGAAAGAATTGGGACTTCAGTTGGATGTCCCCAGGGTCCGGGCTACTGCTGACGTGTATTACGGCGGCAATAAGCTCGGGATCCTGAACTTACGGAAATGGCAGGCTGCAAACTCGACTCTGCTCGATGATGTTGATGGCTCACCAGCGCTATACGTCGACTTTGGGATCAAGAAAGCGCCGCTTGAAGTGACGGATGAAGATGTTTTGACTGACGTTCTTCAAGACTTGATTTTCCAAGGGAAACGGGTCAAGCTAGATGTTGCCGCCAGTGTAGACGCCGAAGTCACCACGGGGCTGGGCACTTTTGCTGTTCGTGAGATACCCGCGCAGGGTGAGATTGTGGTTAAGCGTAAGTCGTATCTAGCTGACACCCTTGCCTATCGACTGACTTTCTGTAGCCCCATACGGAGGCTCTTTGGACGAATTTAGCCCGCATATTGCATCGGTAGAGCTCGGAACTACTACTGCCTCGTCTCTGCTGGTGAAGGCTCTGGTCAACGTGACCAATCCCTCGCCGTACTCAGCATTCGTGCCATCGGTAGATTTCCTGCTTCTGTTCAATGGTTCTAGAGTCGGACATATCACGGCAAAGGATCTTACCATTACCCCGGGCGCCAATGATGGTCTCCCCGTGGACCTCACATGGAGCCCACTTGTTTTGGATGGGGAGACTGGCGTCGCTGCTGGCCGGGAGCTGCTCTCCAAGTATATTTCAGGTAAGCTCGAGAGAGCCTCTTCTTCCACCTCCGATTCCTAACCATAGTCGCAGGATACAACACAACTGTTACAGTACGGACACATGAGGGAACCATCCCGGGACTACCCAAACTCGGGAAGGCGCTGTCGAAATTAGGGCTCGAGATCCAGATTCCTCGGGTACCCGTGCCTCATGCCCCGGGTGCCGGGGACGACCCTGATGATGACCAGAAAGGGTTCATCCAAGGAGCTACGGTATTATCTACTTTCATAGATATCGTCTCAGAACATGGCATATAAACAAGCACACATTCATCACTTTATCATAAACATAACCATGACGAGGCATTTATCCACGGAGCACGTGCTCCGTTCAAGACAAGAGGAAGACTAACTTGCGTGAGTGCTGCTACTAGATGCACCTCTGGTCTTCCACGGCCGAGTTCACACTGTCCTCACCGTTTCCTAACACCACCATTGACATCACTTCGGTTTACGCGCAGGCGTTCTACGAAGGCGACGAGGAAGTTGGCACCATCGACTACCGGGTGCCGTTCCCCGTGCCACCGGGTATCTCAGTCACACCCCGGCTGCCCGTGGACTTAAACCTCGGCGGTATTGGCTATGATGCGCTAAAGAAGGCGCTGGGAGGCACTCTTGGATTAGATGCCGTGGCGAAGGTCGGCGTTCAGATTCAACACTATCGGGATATAGTGTTTTATCATGGCAAGGGTATCAAGGCGCGAGTCAAACTTTAGGAGTCTATTCTATTGCTCTTTTGGGTTATTGTTTTCATAAGCGGGCTTGAATCATTTCTCATCCAATCTGAACCGGCGTTAGGAATAAAAGAACAGGCGTTTTGACGTTGGGGTAATTAGGCTGTTTCTTACTTGGTTTACTGGACTGTTCGCTAGGATACGGATGACTCATTTTCAATACAGAATTGAGTATTATTGGATTTCAACGGAAAGCAATGCTATTTGTAGTCACAGTAACGCAAGATTCATATGAATTGCAACTCTGCACCGAGTACGAGCCAATCATTGAATGCGAGAATTTACAACATATCATTAGGTAGAACTTAAAAGGTTCTGCAAAAGGAAACGGATGAAGTACATTGTGGTTGTGCTTTTTACATTGCGGGATATAGATAATAATAATAATAATATAGATAGATAGGTAAAAGCGCACAGACGAATACATTTAACCGGGGGGAAGGGTGCTGGCGTCAACAACGTCAGCGGCGTCCTTCTCGATCTCCTCGCTGGGCTCGAAGAGAGGAGACCGGGGCAGAGCCATCAGACCGGTACGGGTGGATTCGAGGACACCGAAGGGGCCGATGAGCTTCATGAAGGAGTCGATACGGGAGGGTTTGGCGGAGCTATATCATATCATCAGAATCAAGAGAAGCAGGGAAATTGTATGTATGACTCATGGGGACGGGTAACTTACACCTCAACAATGCAGTTATTAGTACTGATATCCAGCACCTTTCCACCGAACTGATGAGTGAGACGGGTAATCGCATCCAGATGCTCATGCTTGTGTCTCAAAGCCTGAGAATGGGGCAGATTACGAGGGTGGAATTCGGTCTTCGCAACCTGCGCAGCCTTGTCCTTCTGACCCTCCGTCTGCTCACCGGGGGTGGTGATTTCGCGGTGGTGCTGCAGCAATTCCTCGAAGAACTCGGGACCCAAGATGCTGACCTTGGCGAGGAGGAGCTCGCGCTGCACCAGAGCGGAATCGGTATAATCGAGGACAGCCCAGACAGGGACGAGATCATCGAGTTGACGACGAGCCTGCTCGACGACGCCATCCTGACCCTGCAAGACGATAGTCATACGAGACAGATCCTCGACTTCGGTGTTACAGACGACGAGGGAGTCGATGTTGAAGCCACGAGCGGCCAGGATACCGGACACACGGGACAGGACACCGGGCTCGTTCTGCACCAGACAGTTCAGGATATGGCGCTTGGGAGGGTTGGTGGGGACGGAAGGGGTTTCGTAGAGAATGGACGAAACGGCCGTGGGGGCGTCCCATTGAGGCGAGGCATCGTTGACGGGGAGAGGGAGGGGAGACCGGCGATGAAGGGCCTTGTAGGCGAGGGCGGAGGTCGAGCTGGAGGAGGAAGAGACCCGAGTGCTGGTGCTGAATCGGGAGGCTGCCCCCAGGCGTGAGGTACGGCTCGCAACGGACAGGAAAGGCGTTGATGCTGTCGTCGACAGCATCAAAGGACGCCGGAAAGCCATGATCGCCGGCGACGGATTAAGGCCTGCACTTTTGTGGGAAAAAGTGGCAGGCAACAAAGTCCGGAGATCCTCGCAGGGCTTTTCTGGGGTCGCGGAGAATAAAGTCCGCAGGTGTTGGAACTTCGCATTGCATTTTATACGCGGCGGCCTTCCGACCTCGGGGCGCTGACTCAGTCTCGGCGGTAAGGATTTCGTTTGTCCCGTGACGACTTTTATTACTTACCATACATAGTTACTGAACTACTGGTAGATAGTTGTTTTGTACGCTTGGCTGTTTTGGGGTTAGTTGGGTATTGTGAACTCACATGATCGGGGCTCTTGCATCTTCGTTTCTTCATCGATTCTATTGTTTCTAGTGGTTACTACTTGGTAGTTGATCAACTTATAGATACATTTAGTGCATCTTACGCAATGTTCGATTGATTTGTTGTGTTTATCTACCTGCCTACTACCTCTCCAAAGGAAAATATTGGATCCAAAGGACCCTGTACTGTCAGTACGGGCACACTATCTACTTACTACACACACTTAAAACACTAGGCCTATTATTGGCTCCCAAGCGCAAAAAGGGCCGCTACTAAGTTCTCCGGAGTGGCAGCTCGGCACCCCCCGTGGCTGGCCATTTCTTGCTTAGTTTCTGCTACTTTTTCGCTGGGCCACTAAACTATCTCGAGTCGAATCCTCTTTAGCGGCCAAACCGGGGCGGATCGTTCCAAACTCCACCGCCTGCGAAAGTCTTTGGCAAGTTTATCTTGGCCTTTTCGGAGCCTACCTTGCTGCCTTGCCTCACGCCCTTCATTCTCACCTTAGACGTCACTTATCCCTTTCCCTTCTCTTAACCTCTCACTTCCTACATTGCCGATACTATGGACGATCGCCGCTCGAAACGCTCTCGTTTTGATCAGACCGAGCCGGAAGTGCGACGCCCGTCGCGCTTCGACCGCCGCTCTCGGTCTCCCTCGTCGCGACAGTCCGAATCGACTCGAGCTCGCAGCCCTCTCAGTCGTGAGCCTCGGAGCCCTAGCGCAGACCCTGCGAAGAAGACCGATCCCGCTGCCGCCGCTGGTACGTTCGTCCCTTTATGATAATGGCAAGAGGAAACGTGTGTAGCAGCAGAATTAACGTTGGAGTCATACACAGCTGCCGCTGCGGCAAAGATCAACGCCCAGTTGCAAGCGAAGAAGGGCATTCAACATGTCGACGTCCCTCCAATTCGCTCGGTAAGCAACGCCCATTGCTGGTCGCAACGCAAAGGATAACACAATATGCTGACTCTGGTTTCCACTACCTAGACCGCAAGCCCCGTACCAACATCCGGCTCACCTGCCAGCGGCGACGCATCTGGAAAGTTGAACGCAGAGATCTACGTTGCTGATGGAGACTATATCAAGGATATTGAGATTAATGACTTGCGCAACCGTTACACGCTGACCAAAGGCTCTACTCAGAAGATGGTAATTACTCCTATATATATCCGCTGATCCTGCCCAGGCCCAAAGCCCAAAACCTGTCGCAAGCTAGCTAGCTGCTGGCTTCCGTCGTTCGCCATGCGCCTTCTTGCTTGGTTTTGCTTGCTCGTTTTTGGCCTCGTTACTTCTACCCCTGTCCTTTTTCTTTTCTCCAATGATTCGTTTTGCGGTTATGGCTAAAGCTCACCCAAGTCAACATCTTGCAATAGCATCCCAACACTTGCCCTCATTTGCATCTGCTGACCTCCGCTGCGTGACATTTAGATCAAAGAAGAAACTGGCGCCGGTACGCCTTTCATTCCATATTCATATTATTATCAAACGTTTGACTACAAGAAGGAAGCTCATCATTTTTGTTCTCTTTTTAAGATGTCACTACGAGAGGAAACTATTATCCCGATAAGAGCATGGCCACCGCCGCGGTACGTTCATATACCAACTCCCCCGTTGATTCAGACTATCTGAATTACTAACACGCAATCTCCACCCAGAACCCCCCGCTCTATCTCCACGTAACGAGCACAAACAAGGAAGGCCTCGAAAAGGCCGTCGCCTTGATCGACGATCTCATGAAGAAGGAACTCCCCAACCTGGTTGATGAGCGCCGGTTCCGTCGTCGCGAACCCGAGCAAGTAGAGCGTGATGAGTACGGTCGTGTACGTCCTTCACACCATACCAGCACCAGCTACTCTCTCCGTCCCTTCCTTTCCAGATTCAACACCCCAGAAAGAAGTCTATAGACAACTAATGGTATACAGCGTAAATGGCCCGAGGAGCGCATCCCTGTCGATCTCGAACCGATCCCTGGCTTCAACCTTCGCGCTCAAGTCGTCGGACAGGGCGGTGCCTACGTGAAGCACATCCAGCAGAAGACTCGCTGCAAGGTTCAAATCAAAGGCCGTGGCTCTGGTTTCATGGAGCCCAGTACTGGCAGGGAAAGCGATGAGCCGATGTTCCTGCACGTAGCGTACGTAACGCATCTATACCCCTTCCTGTCCCTGCAGCACCGGAAACAGCTTGTACCGATACTTATCACTTTCATTCTGCAGTGGTCCCGACCCGAATGATGTCCAGAGTGCAAAGGCCCTGTGTGAGGATCTACTAGCCAACGTCCGCGAACAGTACCAGCGTTTCAAGGAGAACCCGCCCCAGCACAGCTACGGCGGTTATGGCGGCCAGCGCGGAGACCGCTATCACTATGGCGGAGGTTACGGCGGTGGTGGTGGCGGCGGCGGCGGATATGGTAGCAACCATCACCAGAACTCGCCATCTACCTCTGCCAGCCCGTCGACCCAAGCCGCAGGTGCTGCTGGCGGTTCGGGAACCGGAACTCCCGACTACAGTGCCCAGTATGCTCAATACTACGGAACCGACCCATATGCTGCCTACGGCGGTTACCAGAATTACCTTGCCTACTACCAGTACTACCAGGCGGCTGCTCAGCAGCAGCAGCAACAGCAACAGCAACAGTCCCAGAGCCCCGCTCCGCCGCCGCCGCCTCCCGCCAGCGAGGCTCCCCCTCCTCCCCCTCCGGGATCGGGCTCTCCGCCACCTCCTCCGCCCGGCGGTAGCTATAGTGCTGTAAGTACAATCCGTCGACTTAATGTTCTGTGGCCAAGCCTAAGTATTAACTGCTTTGTTCGATTTAGGTCCCTCCCCCTCCAGGACTGTGAGGTGATGCTTGGGAAGCTGCCATAGCAGTAGCCCAAAGCAGAGAATCAAAGAAGGCTATGCTTATTCAAGAGTATGAAACGGTGATTCTATGCAGGCGCAATGGATACCTGCCTGCCAGTGAGCCCCATCGACGACCGAGCTGCCTCTAGGCTGTCTGTACCTTTAGTCCGTTCTTTCGTTCTTATTCGACCGAGGTTTGGTCTGTGTTGCTAAAGTCTGTAGAGCAAAGCCGGAAATCTGCGCTCATTTCTGAAGCTAAAAGAAACTTTTGCTGTTTTGCTTAGCGAATTATCTGGCTTGCCCATTGCGTTGGCTCTGGTAGGATGTGTGCACGCCTCTTCTTTGGGGTGGTATAAAACATCATTCCACACGGTATTGAACCGTAATACTGGTATCTTTCGCGTACGCTGGCTTGACAAGCAAGTCATGTCAGTGGTCGACCAGCAAGATGGCCAGTATCTATACCCCAGTATCGTTGAAAATTCTTGTCGCAATATATATGAAACCTATAAGAGATACTCAAACTTCTAAGGATCAACCTCAGGAAAATACCCCCGGGAACATCTTTTGCATATACCACGGGACGTCCATGTCGGCAAAGTCGTCTGTGTGGCTTTCGGGCGCCATTCTCGCCTTTCGCTGGGCAAGAGCGTGAGAACCTTCTTTGCAGAAGTCACAAGCAAAGTCACATGGTGAATCAGTGGAACCATTAGTTCTCATCCCCGACGTAGGGACTTGGGAACCCATCTTCTCAAGTTCGAAATCCCCAAAGAAATCCTTGATCAGGTCATGCCTGCATCTTGTGGTATTCTCACAGTAGCTGATCACCTTCTGAAAGCTAGCTAGTCGAGCAAGCTGATTCTGAACGGTGGTTTGTGCCTTGCTGTTCTGGTTGCTCATGTGCGCGCCAGTGCGATTGCGAGCGTTCTCAATGTCTCGTTGCAGACGATCAAGAATCCTATCTCGCTCTTGCGTGTTGTAGTAGACAATGGATGCGGCGGCATGACCGTCGCGACCTGCGCGACCGGATTCTTGAACGAAACCTTCGAAGCTCCGCGGCGGACTCCAATGAACAACGAAGCGGACGTGTGGGCTATCAATGCCCATACCGAATGCAGTAGTAGCGACGATAATGTAAAATGCCGGTTGTTGCGGTGATTCGTTCTCATTACCTCCATGCTTAGGGAATGACTTAGATGATGTCCATTCGGACTGGATACGCGTACGGTCTTCAGAGGATAAACCAGCGTGGTAAGCCACAGCGTGAATACGGCCGGGCCAGCTTGCTGATAAAGCAGGGGCTAGTTTATCGGATACGGTTCTGAGAGGCACATAGATAATCCCAGATATCGGGGCAAGCGTGGCGGGCGCAGAGCCAGTGACGGCCTCTCTGCGGGCCTGGACAGACTGGAGCCATGAGACGAGGTTGTGGATCTGGAAGTTTTCTGGCTCTGTGGGGTCGCTTGCATAATCGTCGAGGTACCTTATCTCGTAATGAATGTTTGGACGTGCAGAAGGAGTGTTAAAGATCTTCAGCTTGGAAGCGTCCAAGCCAAGAAGTTTGATGATATCTTCCCGAACACGAGGCGTTGCAGTTGCTGTAAGTGCACTGATTGGGATCGGTGGATTAGTCAAACTTTGCTTGAACCAGCTCAATTCTTTGTACGCCGGCCGGAAGTCATGGCCCCATTCACTAATGCAATGAGCTTCGTCGATGGCAACACGAATCAGTTCTCCTTGGCGGTGGATAGTCTGTAGATTGCGTCGAAAGCCTTCTGTCTGACAGAGTTCTGGTGTCACGTAGAGAAGCCGGGTTTTCGGATGACCTGATAGTAGGTCGTCTAAGATCACACGTCTCTCTGCAATCGGAGTCGTCGAGTTGATTGTTGCTACCGCAACCCCCAAAGCTTGAAGCGCTTTTACTTGATCGGTCTGCACGACATATTAGTACCGCTCGAGAGTGGATATTGTGCAGGCTGACCATCAAAGCAAGCAAAGGGCTAATCACAACGGTCACTAAAGATATCGTCAGACACAATTTAAAAGATGAAGATCTTCGAGTGGTAGACGCAGGTAGACCAACCGCCATGGCTTATGACTGCAGGTAGTTGAAAGCACAGGCTTTTCCCGAATGAGGTATTTGCCTGCAGGAACACATCATGGCCGTTGATGGCCGCCGTGATCACCTCACGCTGAAGAGGTCTATACAATAGTTTCTTTTAAGTCGAGTACTTCAATAGGAACTGGTGGCAGCTTGAACATACCGAAAGGACTTCTTCCGGAAAACTCGGCGGAGGTAGAAGTCTATATCCACATTGCGTCGTTTGAGATTCCCACTTCCCATTTCTGCAGCATCGTTAGAAGCACGACAGATGTCTGCACAGGCTGGGAGATTTCCCCAAAATCGAGAATTGAGGCATCGGCTGGAAGACGCGACGCGGGGAAGGCACGATACGCGATGCCACGTGATATCGATAGAGATCCTAATCAGGAAGGCAGATAGGATTCTGATTTAGTGAGCGGAGTCTCTATCTATTGCCAATAGCACTATATACTACACCCCTAGATCAGCAAGTTTGAAATGAGTTTCTAGACCCAACTCTTGAATCCATTATTGTTGATATCATTTAAGAAACAAAAAACTAATAGCACACAAGCTTGTTCGCTGTACAGGATAACAAGCGACAGCCTTTAGCTGTTGCCGTTGAAAACACCGCTATCAGGCTTCAACCTGAGGGTATATACTACTATAACAGGTCTATAATGTACATGTATCACCGTCCCACATCTAACCCTCCATAATTGGCTAATATTGCCTTTGGAGTCTGTTCATCTGCCTCTCTAGCTCTTCCTTGGCAGCCAGGACGTCCAGCGCCTTGCGCTTTTCCGGCTGCCAGATCCGTATAATCTGCAGCCAGACCTTCATAAGCTCCTCTGGCCCGCAGCATGCCCCGAACGCGCGGAGAATGATGATGACCATTCGACGGCCAAGAAAGACGCCATTCTCTATCCGGCGTTCGATTTCTTCCGAATCTTGCGGCTCATTTTGCAGCTCATTTTGCAGGTCCTGAGCTTGCTGTCGAAACAATTCGTCAACGTCAATATCTTCTTCGAGAGCAGCCATGCTTTCATTGGCATGGGTGACACCTTTGCGCTCGTCGAACTGGCCCATCACCCTCTGATCCTCGTTCTGGGCCTCGCGACACTCCTTGGCAGCGGTGCCAGCAAAAGGCAATGGAGTGTACAGTCCGCTTGGCTTTCGCGAAATCGTTGGCCAGCCTATCTCCATGGCGGCGGGGGCCTTCAATACCGGGATCTCTGTGATGTGCTTTCCACTTTGGCTGCGGTACATTTCAATGAGTCTCGTCCTCGACTCGTAGAGAGCACGCAGATAGGTTTTCCAAGCTACACGTAGCCGTTCGGCCGTCCAGCCCTTCTTGTTTCGCCCGTTGCGAGCGAATCCGTCAAAAAGCAGGAGGTATATCATACCACGCGGCGGAACCACGAACACTTTCTCCATGTCTGCAAGGACAGACATGAAACCATGGATGTCAGCGGTTTTGTAAGCGTGCAATGAAAGAAATATGTGGAATGTTCGAGTGTCAGGGATTGCGTGAAGCGATTGCTGAAGCGCACGATGGTGTTCAGGCATGATCTCTTTCAGTGAGGTAGATTCTTGCAGGACTCGACCCAGCTTCTTCACTCTGCTCCGATAGAGGTTCATCTCCGATGTGAGATGCGGTGTTTTTGAATGCTTCGACTCGATGCTTAGTTCCCCTGTCTCTTGGGACTTTGCTTGGGCCTCAAGCATCTCCGCATATATCTGCTTCGCTGAGTCCACATCTCCGGCACGAATGAATGACGCCATTAGGCAATTCATTACAACCGTGTCAACAATCTCACCACTCGAAACAAATTCATTGAATGTCTCTTTAATGCCAGCAACATCCTCTTGCATACCACAATAGTAGAGCTTGGAGACCTTTCCGAAACGCCGGAATTCAATATTACGCTTCTTCATTTCCTCCAATAGTCGTTCCGCGACGGTGAACTGATTCGCTTTGATGGCGATATCGAAAAGAATGGTGAACACGACATCATCAGACTTAACACGCGCCAGATATTCCATCTGTTTCCATAGTCCAATGGCCCTCACCACATCTTGCTTGCGTACTTTGCCAGACGCTCGTCCTGCAAGGTGTATAGCGGAACTCCAGAGCGAGCGGGATATGGGCAGCTTGGCAGCGGCCATGTCTTCTATCAACGCAAGGTAGCGACGAGCATCCACCCAACGACGATCTGGAGGATCGGCGAACCGACGTAGGAGTGCTCCTCTGGAGCGTTTGGACAGGTAAGCAACCCCGGGGGAGGGAAGATCTCGGTAGAGTCGAAACACGTAATGGTTTGAAATCCTCTCATTCCACATAGCGTCCAAAAATACCTCAACCGTTTTGTATTCCAAAGCATCCCGCGATTTGTCTACCGTCGGAAATACCTCGTTTGAGGGCGGTCCCTTCTGTGTCTCGTTCGCAACAAGATCAACTGCCTGTTTCCAGTTGAGTGAACTACCAAAGGCAGCTCGATATAATTGTGAGGTCGATGTGTATGCTTTCCTGCTTGGACTTGTTCTTTTATGATGGCGATATTTCTCCGACTTGCTCGACGAATCCGGTAAACGGCCAATCCTGTCATCGTCAGGGGCGCTGTCGCTCGCAGTTGAATTATCTTCGCTAGTTGATGCTGTGTCCGCTGTTGGTAGCTCGCTGTTCAATTTCTCCAGATCCATCTCTCGCAATCCTCCATGTGACTGTAATGTTGATTCTGTACCCCCGCCTCGGTAGCGATCTTCGAATGAAGATCTCGCTGAGGCGCTGTTCGCATAGCAGTTCCCTTCACCATCCTCATCCTCAATCCTCAACGCAACACCGGAATTTATCATCCGTTGTGCACTTGAACGATGCAGACTCCCTGTCGATGTGCCTAGACAGTCCAGGCGATGTTTCGACGACAATTGCCTGCGATGT